AATAAATATCTTTGTTGCTTATTTATCTCAAATATGTTCAAGATTCTTAAATTTTGAAAAAGAGGTAAAGAGTGGGCTCTGTAGTCGCTATTTGTTGCAATCCTTACAAATTTTTTCTGTGAGAGATGAAGAGTATTAAGTAATGTGCAGCCTGCTTCACCCCAAATTATATTTCCATAAATAAGATATGAATAGATTAGTGAGTAATATATACTAAGTAAGCTTTTAGCATTTAATAAATGTTTCACTTTGTATAAAATACCAATAGTTCTTGAAATTTTCATGTTTACTGATGTGATGTGATTTCTCCAGGTAAGATTTTGATCAATTATAATTCCCAAAAAGTTTATATGTGACACTTGCTCAAGCACTTTATCATTCATCGTGACAATTATATCATTTTTATTATATTGCTTTTGTCTTGAAGAAAATATTATATATTTAGTTTTCTTGGCATTTAACGAAAGTTTGTTTGTGGCTATCCATTCCTCGATTAGTTTCAGTTCAGCATTCAAAGCGTTAGTAATTTCATTAAGATTTTTTCCTTGTATTAACAAATTGGTGTCATCTGCAAATAGCACAAAAAATAATCGTGGAGAAGATAAGTAAATGTCATTTATGTATATGATAAAAAACAAGGGACCTAACACAGAACCTTGAGGAATTCCACATGTAATTATCTCGGGATCTACAATAGTGTCTATATAACAGGTTTTTTGAATTCTGTTAGAAAAGTAACTTTTTACCAATTCCAGTGCTATACCACGAATCCCATAAAATTCAAGTTTTTGAAAAAGAATATTGTGGTCAATAGTATCAAAAGCTTTTGAAAAGTCAAGAAATACCCCAATAGAGAGTTCACCTTTGTCTATAGAATTTCTGATTTTTTCAACAAATGTAAGAACTGCCATAAATGTCGATTTTTTTCCCGAAAGCCAAATTGATAAAGATACATGATTTCTATTTTGTTCAGAAAAGAAGTCAGTCGATGGTGCATTAATTTCTCAAGAAGTTTGGAAAAAACTGGTAAAATCGATATAGGTCGATAATTAGTAAAAAGTTGTCTGTCTTCCTTTTTATGAATTGGTATGATCTTTGCAATCTTTAATTTGTCAGGAAAAATACCATTTGATAGAGATAAGTTAAAAATGTGTAATAATGGTTCTTGGAATGCCTTACCACAATGCTTAATTATGGAAGGTTTGAAATCGTCAAAACCGGCCGCAGAGTTTTTCAATTTTGATATTTCCATGTCTAATTCTTTGGAATCGATGGGATTCAAAAATAAAGTCGACGCCTGTCTTCCAATATTACGCATATAGTCTAAAGGACTTTTGTTAGAAGGGGGAATTTGTGCTGCTAGGCTCTCACCTACCTTTGAAAAAAAAGAATTGAACTGATTGGCAATGTCAAGTTTATTTGTTATTTCAGTATTATTATGGAAAAATGTGTCTGGGATATTGTGGTTTTTATTTTTTCTTTGGAGAATTTCATTGATAATTTCCCAATTTGCTTTAATGTTTCCTTGATTTTCCTCAAATTTTTGGCTAAAGTAATGCTTATGTGCTGATCTTATGACTGTTTTTAACATTTTGGAATAAACTTTGTAATTTTCCTTATTTTGATTTGTTGGTGTACGAAGATATTTTTTATATAATTTACTTTTGTGTCTTACAGATACAAGTATGGCTGAACTGATCCAAGGTTTTTCATTGTTATTATATAATTTAATAGATACTGTTTTTGTTGGAAAACTTTCATCATATATTTCCTTTAAGCGATCTTCAAATAGGTTATAAGAGGCATTTGTATCATCACTATTTATTGTATCTGTCCATGATTCATTTGATAATTTTTCCTGAAAGGTAATAAGATTATTTTCAGAGTATTTCCTAATTGATTTCTTGACAACTTTAATCTGATGGATTGTTTTATTAAAAGTAGCAAATATTGGGAAGTGATCTGAGATGTCATTGAAAATTATTCCACATAAGCCATTTTTAGAATCATTTGTAAAAATGTTGTCAATTAAAGTTGCTGTACTTGAAGTAACCCTGGTTGCTTTATAAATAAGTGGTATTAAATTATAAGAAGTCATGGTGTTGTAAAAGTTTTCAGTTGGTTCATGCTGATTAGTCTTAAATAAGTCAATATTAAAATCGCCCATTACGTAGATTGTTTTGTTTTCTCTTGAGATATTATTTAAATATACTTCTAAACCATTGTTAAATTCATCAATATCAACATTCGGAGGCTTATATATGCAAGTTAAGAGAATGTTTTTACCATTGTTTACAATTACCTCAATTGTTAGTACATCACAACCGAAATTATTAAATTGAAGATCTGGCCTTTCTTTAACATGAATTGTATCCTTGATATAGAAGCCAACACCACCCCCTCTAGTTGATCTTGATTTAAAATAGCCATTAAAATTCATTAGTTTGGAATACTGTGATTCTTGGTCCTCATAGAGCCATGTCTCAGAAAGGCCTACAATTGATACTCCCTTATCAAGTGATGACAATAAATTGGTTAATTTCCATTGATTTGATGGCAGGCTTCGAATATTACAATGTACCATAGACATATCAACACTGTTTGTTGCATTCAAATTATTATTAAGTTCAGTTAAAGTGACATATTCGCTCTTTGCCATAATTTCATTGGTTATCACATCAAATCCAGGAGCATCAATCATTTCCTCTCGCATTTCAAGTGGGTTAAAAAGTTTGTTATCAAAATTTATAAGTAAATTGCCATTTGGAGCTGTTTCTATAAAATCACTGTGGTCGTTGACTATGTAAAATGGCATTTCAGACCATGGGCATGGCACTGGGGTAGCTATATTATCCCCCATCCAGTAAATAAATGAGCACATGCATTGACAGATCCCCTATAATATTACTCAAATAGTTTGAACAAATTGTGTTGCTCAAAAGTATGCAACATTGCATATTGGGCACTAGAAGTATGGAATGCAGTACATATTTTGGTTTTCTGCAGTATGATAAAATAAAGCAAATGTTGATGTATGACACAGCACACCATCACAAATTTTAAGAACAAAGTATGAAAATATTCAGATTTTAGAATCCGATTAGATAAAGTACCTGATAATAAAATAATTGATGGTACGTTCAACTTAGAAATGTGTGATGTTGAATCCTGTACATGTACGAGGTAGAAACTTACTTATGAATTAGTGAAATAGTGAACATATTTAGGTACACGTCTCAGTGGTCTCCCCGACATTATAGCAAGTGGGCACAGCACCCGCCTGAGATTTTGAAAACAGCGCACCCACCTCGAAATCAATTTGCACCCACATGAGGATGAGAAAGAAATCTGAAAAATTGGTATATATTGACAAATTTTTGTCTAAATTATGAAAATGAGAATTTTACCCTCACTTGAGAAAAAATCCTGGGGAGATCACTGCGATTAATAATATAGCCTGTGTTGTTGCTTGTGTGTAACTCCCTGTAAGTTAAATAAAATAAGTCTATGTAATGATAGTAGGCTGTATTACAGCCTTTACTGTATGTTACAGTATACCAAAATAAATAAATACCAAAATCAAAATTCTTCAAAATTGCGACAGAAATGATAAAAGAGTAACGATCTTGCGAATGCAAGATGTTGCTTACTATGCAATAAATCATTTATAATATGCTAGCATTTGTGATCAGCTTAAATGAATTCAATTAAATGAATAATACCATTATTGTTCAGTATATGGAATATGGCATCAAAATAATTTTAGGTCATCTTTAAATCTTGAATGCAATCTAGATAAATAGTCTCATAAAAATGAGAATTTTTGCAGTGCTCACACTTGAGAAAAAGTCCTGGGGAGATCCCTGTGTTAATAACATAGCCTGTGTAAGCTTGTGTGTAACTCATACGTTTAACAAAATAAGACTATGTAATGATAGTAGGCTGTATTAAAGTATACCATAATTAATAAATATCAAACATAAAATTCTTCAAAATTGAAACAAAATTGATAAATTAGCGTAAAGATCTTGCACATACAAGATTTTTGCTTACTATGCAATAAATCATTGTACAATATGCTAGCATTTGTGATCAGCTTAAATTAATTCAATTAAATGAATAATACCATAATTGTTCAGTATATGGAATATGGCATCATAATAATTTTAGGTCATCTTTGAATCTTGAATGCAGTCTAGGAATGTATGCAAATAAGATAAAAATAATACTCATATCATAAAAAGACAATGTTACTTTGAGCATAGATTATAACTTTCCTGCTAAGATATCTTCAATGTTGTTTTCCACAAACTGGCTGAATATAAATTTCCCACGGACAAATCATCCAAATTTGGACCTTTCAAAATTGAAATTTCACTACTTGAGAATAAAGTAATTTATGTTACATTATCAGAAGTATGACTCCCTCCGTAATATAATATTTGTTGTCAAAAACATTAATGCAATATACATACAGTAGACCAAACTTGGTTTGGTATGAAGTTGCAAAATATAGATGGCAGTGTACAAATAGTTCTTGAAAGAAAAACTTAATTGCTTTAAGATAAGTGTTCCCGATGTTATTTCTCCATTGAAAAATCTCATGCTATCCATTGGTTTCAGTTAATTTTGGTCATCCAAACTCAATATCTTTAAAGTCCCTGGAGCAATCAACTTTTCCTTTTAGGAAATCAAACATTTCTCAAAGCACATTCTAATTATGCATTCAACGATATAATAAAATGTTGCATTTTTGAAAATTAGGTCAACATCTTTGAAAAAGTATGTTGATTGGTCCATTGCCCCTTCAATATCACTTCTAAGGTCTGATTAACTAAATTATCATTATACATACTTTTCTTGAAGATAATGAATGGATCTAAATGATACATCCATTTTTATGACCAGAAAATATTCATAATTCAAGTTAGAATCGTTTGAAATTGTTTGCGATAACTCACGTTCAAATATTCAAGAAACGTTGAAATCTGTTTACTTACTTGGTTTAACGCAGCTTTTCCCACAAACGTCATCACACAGGCAACGCTTGTTGCGCCCTCTACAATCTGTATCCGAACGACATTTTTTCAGGCATGTTCTTTTAGCTGCTAGCTCGGGCTTTCGAGGACATTCAGAATTTACTATAAAACAAAATGTGAAACATCAATTTAAAGTCCCCGTCTTAAGTTTGAAAATATTTTTTATCATTCATTTACTATTTGTCATGAATTAAAAAGTTATTTTAGAGATTTTTGAAAAATAAATTTTGAAAAAAAGTTGTGAGCATTTCATTTCTCAAATATTCAAATTTCCCGCCATTTTTCAAAAAAAGTTGAAATTTTTCATCAAATATTTCTTGATGCATTTCAAAAAAATATCTTTTTAACACCAATGCAAAGATTAGTGATGTCACTCAGGTGGCAAAAACGTTTTGAAAAAAAATGAAATTTTTTTCAATGCCAATCCGCTAAATATGCTAGACTTCGATTTTCTTAATTTTTTCGGCAAAAAACATGCGAGGATGAATCCTATGCATTGGTATGAATTGTGGCTAATTAAAAGATATGCATGACCTCTAAAAGTTAGTTTTAAATAAATTTACAAATTTGTGAAAAAAAAGTCCTTCAAAAACCACTTTTTGAAATTTAAAAAAACGTTTCACATATCACACTTTGACAACATTGGGTAAGACTACAATATAAGCCAAAGTGGTTTAAACTTTATACGGGGACTTAAAGAATTCTTCAACAGTTCGTAATAAAATATCCAGAATTATTATAACCTCTCTATAAGTTTGTGAACCGAAAGTATCCATGAGATAGCATACTCATAGCAGGGGCGGATCTGAAAAAATGTTGGCCCCCTAAAACCAAGAATTTGCCCCGAATTTAAGGCCCATCTTCTTGATAGTTTGGCCTGATATTACAATAAGGCCCAAAAAGGCCCAGTAATGCCCAAATAGGCCCACTAATTTGGGCCCTAAATTATTTTATTCACACGTATGATCCGTGATTGGATACTAAACTTTTGGAGGGGGTGTAATTCGTTCAAACTGGTTGCAAACTTAAATTACGAACTTCAGTTTTATTAATTTACCATCAACATATGTTTGTTTGAAAATGCACATGTTTCGTTTGGAATAAGTTCTGCAATATCCATTAGGCAAATTGTAAAACATCGAGCACTCGTAATCAGTATGAGCAAAATTACACCCTCTTCCTTACAATTTACAAAACTTCACATTTCACAATGAGCACGTATTTAAACTGATTTTACAGTAGATGTCAAAATGTCTTTCAAAACTGCAAGAAAGAAATAAAATTTATATTTTTAGACTTGTTCCCCAAATAATAGTAATAAATTAAAAGAAAATTGTTCCTCCTGAAAGCAAATTTTCTTTCATGTAAGTGTTATACCTGATACTGTGAACATCTGAGCAACGTCAGACAATCCATTGCGTAGATCTCAAATAACAAAAACCTAAACCCAAGCCCCCCCCCCCCCCCCCTCCCGAATGTGGCATTGAAATGGGGTTCATTTCAAAAGAAGGTTTCATTTATAAAAAGGGGACTTCATTGGAAATATGTCCAGTGCCAGTGTAGATGTTACCGTAACCAGAGCAATTGTTACCATGGCCAGTTTAAATGAACCATAGCAGATCTAAATGTTAACTATAGCAGGTGTAAATGCTACCGCCTACCATGGTCAGTGTAGATATTTCCAAGACCAGTTTGGCCAGTAGATGTTACCGTGGTCAGATGTTATTATGGCTTTGGTAGATGTCACCATTGCCAGTGTAAGTACTACTGTCGTTAGAATACATGTAGATATTACAATGTAGATATTACCATGGTCAGCGAAAATGTTACTACGGCCAGAAAATAGATAAGCTGGGAATATGTAAGCACAAGTGACAACGACCGCAAAATAATATAATAAAATACAGCAAAAAATAAACATTTTGAATTATAAGCCATCATTAGGAAAAAATATCCCCATTTTTTAACTTTCACGTGTAGAACCAGCCACCCCTTCCCCTTCCCGAAACCACTGAACATTCCAAAACCATTGAAGTTATTTGTACAATACATGATGAAGAAGACAAAATTCTACTTCGTGTTTAGAGGTAATATCATAAAATAATTACCCCAATTGTACGATATTTTAAAGCTCGTTCCGGAGAAACAAACTTCAGTTTCAGTTCATTATATGGGCTTGATGTCTAATTGTTATTTTGCTGAAATAATTTCCGCTCCCGAGAGTCCTTAATCAAAGTTATCGGTTGACATATCTATAAATTAAGAATTTGGTCTAAATGAACGCGTAAAGTTCATTAAGACCACGTACTTAACTAAAGTCCATGTTGATACAAATCTTAATTTACAGAGCTGTTTACTTTGACTTAAAGTATAATTAGACTTTCTGACCATCAAGATAAAGGCAATGGATTTGGCATTCTTTTTCAATCAACGGAAAGTAAAGAAGGTCTGTATTGGTTTAATCGGAGATACCCAGTATAGCACTGCAGGGTAGCATGTGAATTGTTCTTTTTATTTCGAGCACATTTTAAAACATTTGTGTGAAAGCTAAAGAAATAAAGTTTGTTTACTCACAAACACTGTTTGTTTTGATTGCTAATTTATCTGCACTCATTGCGTTGAGAACGTCAATATTGTGGCAGACGCTCGACCAGAAAATTATTTGCAGAACAAGTCCTCCCTGACAATGCATCTTACAGCTTCCTCCCGTCTGGTTACATCTGATGTCAGTATTTCAATTAATTCCGTATATCCTACATCTGACTAGTATTTAACTTCTGTTGGACTCGACTGCGTCTGAAATAAAAAATAAATAAAATAATAATTTAGATAATTTGATATACACTCCCCTCCAAAGGTTTGGCAACCGTGACTTGCATTGGAAAGCCTATGCTTGAAATTATTTTTCCCCTTTTGAAAAATGTTAGACACGACAAATAACAAGTAACAAATAGTGATATCGGGGATCTGGTGAAACCAAACTTTTGAACATGGTAAGACTTTTTTATAATTTGTTAAATGATCGCACTTATTCTATAAAACATTCAATAGCCCAGATACCTGCCTTGTTATTTAGGCCCTTAATCTTCACCCTGTTCTTCGACTGATTTGTTACATATTTGTGGTTTTTATTATTGTTTTTTACAAATACCCCGTGTGTTTTGTATCTCAAGAATCTTCTCTGTCTTTATGTCGAATTAAGACAGACGATCACGACATGCTCGCATTAATATTCATAGATCTTGTCAGGCTGTCAGACGGACTCACTGGAAGAAATCGCATTACTTTCCTACATATAAAGATCGTGCGTGCAGATATTCGAAACTTCAGAGGAAGTAATCCAATTTGTTTACCTCTTAATATTGTTAACGATTTTTGAACATCAACCTAACTTTTATCTTATAAACAAGCGTCGCTGTTCATGATCCATATGTAGTGGGCGAACAGATGTACACGGGATATTCTTTTGTGCGAATTTGAGAAAGATATTTGTTTTCCTATTCGCTTTGCTCGCAGAATTCACAATAAAGATGGTAATGAAAATTACTTTTACTGATTTACTTATTTTGTTTTTTATTTTATTTTTTTATTCCATTATTTTGGCAGTTCTAAATCCTGCAATGAACAAATATCAATTAGACCCCATTGCCAAGGCACTGTTTCTTTGTGTTTCAAACCTATTCATTTGACCGAACGTGATCTAAAATGATAATTCAAGAGCGCTAAATTAGAATTATTTCTCTTGTTTTCTCCTTTATCTTCATCATTTCTTCGCGACAACTTGCATTTTATGAGCATTCGAAAGGGTTTTATCTTCGATCAATACTGATCACTCTATCGATCTGCTGGTGAAATTCGTGGAGTATCGCCTCTTAATTAGCGGTATTTCGCAAAACAATCAGAGAGAAGATAACTTGAAGATTCAATAAATGAAAATTGACAGTTTATCTATTGGAAAGTCAATGGAAATCGCTTAATGCTCCTAACATATTTTATGACATGTTTCTTCCGGGGAAAAGTGTCAACAAATACATTAGATCATGCGTTTTCCGTTTTACCATTTTCTAGGCCCTCTATATATTTTTATAAAGTCAGAGCAAACTGGCGTTCATATTTAAAAGAAGACAGTGTTTTGATGTGGTCATACTGACCAGAAGTAAAGAAATCACCATGGCTTTCGTTGTTTCCAAGACTTCTCCGAACAATGGAGACCTATTCTGAACCTCATACTACCAGTGTTGTTAAATATAAACGATTTTAACCCCCTGAGCATTGAGTGAGACTGAATCAATATTTAATTATTGTTAAGTATCGCTTGAATTTTTGGGTTAGAAACTTTTAATTTTACGTTTAATTCCCCAAAACAAAGTCTAAGCATCAGTTGGTAATCACACTCAATATAAAGATTAAACCTTTTTATGAAAAGCTTGGCCTAATAATTAGTTTTTCATATTATATCCAACGACCAATTTCCTTCTAAATATTGAAAATACGCCATAAAATCAACATACCTTGTTCTATATGTAATCAATTTCCCATTTAAAGTTGAACACCATTTCTAATCCGACTGCTATCGCGTAAACTGAAAGATTCTCAACATTAAGAAAAACCAATCGAACTTTCACACTCCAAGATTCTTTGTGGATATGTATCCGTCAATATAATCCAATTAGGTGGCCTCTTGTAAGCAGTCGTATTCATTGATGCGCGGCTAGTCGGCTTTGATTTCTATTTCTCAAAAGCTTATTCATCAAGTTTTGTCTACTGCCTATTCACTGGCTCTTCTAGATGCATAAATGAAACCAATACATCCAGGAAGATCGTTCCCGAGTGGCTTCGATTTGTTTTGTTGCGCTTATTGCAAACTTCGATGCATATTCTTTTGCATGTACTGTTTCGCCTGGAGTGAAATTCTGGTATTAGACGTTACAACTATTTATTGAAAGTTCAGAGTTTATTTTTAAGTACATACAAGTGCGTGATACAGGGGTTGCCATTTTAGTAAAGGGTGTAAATACGTTTCTGTGCTTGATACAGGGTATATTTAATGGAAAAGGTTAAATTATGATGTTGAATTATTGGTGTCTATCATATATTTAAGAACTGCCATCTATATATGAATATAAAGTTTAAATAACTAACGTGAACAAAAGATTAATGAGATTCTGATTGTTTTGTTCTGAGAATGCTGCTGCCATCTTTGAATAAATTATCAATGATATAATTATAATCTATTGTGATAACGAACACCTCCCAATCTGAATGTTTTTAACTGCACGGTGGCATTTGGATTAGACAGGTTTTACTGTATGAGTAATAGTAATACTGAAATTAAAAAAATCTGAAGGCCTAGTCAATCTATTTTGGGAAATATTCTCAGCTATTTGAAATGAAGATCAACTTTGTAAGAAGTCTCTATAATTATTTTTTTAATTTATACAATAACATTATACTCAACTTTAGTTCAAATTCCAATGCTCTGGCCTTGGCTAATCAAAACAGTTCATTGCAATTGTTTCATCAATTATTATATTATTATATTAATATATCATAATTATTTCACATGCAAATACTGTACTGCCACTAATATTTGATGCTGTTATCTTTCACAATTTTGCAATTTTGAAATTTTGCGGATATCAATTTTCGCTAATTATAAATTTTTTATAATTTTGTATCTATTTCTTTCACCATCATATCATTTCTCAAAAAAATTTCCAGCTTATTTGATTAAATGTTTTTAAAACCAAGAAATATGAATGAAACAGTACCTTCTTACCTTTAATTATTGCTATACCATGTACTTAAAGCCTTTACATGACACCTATCAGCTATCACCTGCTTCAAAAGCATAGGTGAAACTAAACTATTGAAATCAAGTGCTCACTTTAAATTTTTTTTATATTTTCTGTTTGGGAAAATCTGTTAGTTATCAGCTGCATTTTTGTCAGTCAAGATTTCTCTTCATCAAACCAAATCAAATCCAAGGAATGTTTAGTCAAATATCCAGTTGTTCAGGAATCAAACTCAATTCAAAGAATGATTAGTTCCATAGTGTAAACATATACTGTACAACTTTGAACAATATTGGTATCAGCCATTATGTTACATTAAAAAAAACAGAATGTAAAACTGTAAAAGACTTTCATGTAAGCAGGAAATTTCTTGAAAGAATACTAAAGGTTTCGCAACAGAATTTAGACGGTCATATGTTGAATTGCAGAAATTTTCTGAAAATGTAAGGTGTGTATGTTAGGCCAATGCATTATCTAAAGGAAAAGTACTCATACAGATGATAAAAAAATTGGAGATTGAGACAGGGAAGGTGCATCAACATTTTTTTTTCAAAAATGTTTTCCTGATTTTCAGTTCCTTCCATTTTTTTAATAATGTTTTCACATTAATATGTTGCATTTGTAGACAAAGTTAACATACTAAAGAGAAAATATTTTCCTTTTAAGAGTTTATTTGTGTCTCCAAATGCAACATACTGATGCATAAAACATTTATAAAAATTGAGTAGAAGGGGAAATTTTAAATTCAACGAACATATAGGCCCACTGAGCATTTATTTTGCACAGGGCCTTTATTAGAAAGAACTCAAAATAAATGCCATTGGCTTTTATTAAGACTAAGAGGGAAATTGAGTCCTCGACTCATCGGGTTGTCGTCTCACCCCTATTGATGACTTCATTAAAGGTCAAGAAAATATCAATACTTCGAAGAAAACTAAAAGTGACATAAAAATCCTAGTAGATTTTTTACGGAGTGAGAGGAATGAACTCAGACCGATCGAGGAGATAGATCCCCATGATCTTAATGACCACCTCAAACATTTTTTCATTAACATAAGAAAGGAGGATGGTGCAGAATATCAACCATCAACCTTAAGAGCTTTTATGAGCAGCATCGCAAGATATCTCAAGGATAAAGAATACATGGAAGATTTGCTGAAGTCCATTGGTACTTCAAAACATGTTATTATGAAATAAATAGGTTATTGATGGTCGTGACGTATACAATAACATTATACTCAACTTTAGTTCAAATTCCAATGCTCTGGCCTTGGCTAATCAAAACAGTTCATTGCAATTGTTTCATCAATTATTATATTATTATATTAATATATCATAATTATTTCACATGCAAATACTGTACTGCCACTAATATTTGATGCTGTTATCTTTCACAATTTTGCAATTTTGAAATTTTGCGGATATCAATTTTCGCTAATTATAAATTTTTTATAATTTTGTATCTATTTCTTTCACCATCATATCATTTCTCAAAAAAATTTCCAGCTTATTTGATTAAATGTTTTTAAAACCAAGAAATATGAATGAAACAGTACCTTCTTACCTTTAATTATTGCTATACAATGTACTTAAAGCCTTTACATGACACCTATCAGCTATCACCTGCTTCAAAAGCATAGGTGAAACTAAACTATTGAAATCAAGTGCTCACTTTAAATTTTTTTTATATTTTCTGTTTGGGAAAATCTGTTAGTTATCAGCTGCATTTTTGTCAGTCAAGATTTCTCTTCATCAAACCAAATCAAATCCAAGGAATGTTTAGTCAAATATCCAGTTGTTCAGGAATCGAACTCAATTCAAAGAATGATTAGTTCCATAGTGTAAACATATACTGTACAACTTTGAACAATATTGGTATCAGCCATTATGTTACATTAAAAAAAACAGAATGTAAAACTGTAAAAGACTTTCATGTAAGCAGGAAATTTCTTGAAAGAATACTAAAGGTTTCGCAACAGAATTTAGACGGTCATATGTTGAATTGCAGAAATTTTCTGAAAATGTAAGGTGTGTATGTTAGGCCAATGCATTATCTAAAGGAAAAGTACTCATACAGATGATAAAAAAAATTGGAGATTGAGACAGGGAAGGTGCATCAACATTTTTTTTCAAAAATGTTTTCCTGATTTTCAGTTCCTTCCATTTTTTTATAATGTTTTCACATTAATATGTTGCATTTGTAGACAAAGTTAACATACTAAAGAGAAAATATTTTCCTTTTAAGAGTTTATTTGTGTCTCCAAATGCAACATACTGATGCATAAAACATTTATAAAAATTGAGTAGAAGGGGAAATTTTAAATTCAACGAACATATAGGCCCACTGAGCATTTATTTTGCACAGGGCCTTTATTAGAAAGAACTCAAAATAAATGCCATTGGCTTTTATTAAGACTAAGAGGGAAATTGAAAACATTTTTCCAAGGGGACAGGCATTTATTAAGAGGGAAAATAGCTTTCCCAAGCCAGTGGGTGTTTATTTCGAGGCGTATTATCAATCGAAGAGTTGACACATGGCCTTCATATACTCATGCAATAGTATCTATCATCTCTGATTGCACACTTCTGTTTTACCTTTCAAGCATTCGATTTGGATTTTGGAATGTCATAAAGCTATGCGGTCAAAAGTAATCTTAATACTTTTTAGTGAAAATGCATTTATATTTTTAAAATGCAGAATCTAGCGAATGCAAAATCCTCGAAATCCGATCACCTCCACATCTGAATGTTTTTTTAACTGGTCATGGTGTTTTAACTGGTCATGGTGGCATTTGGATTAGACAAATATTACTGTATAAGTATTAGACAGATATTACTGTATAAGTATAATAGTATTACTGGAATTCCAAAAAATCATAACGCCTACAATGCTAGTAATATTAAGTGAAAATGCATTAATATTTTTTCAAAATCAAGAATCTTTCGGATGCAAAAACCTCGAAATCAGACGTTTAAATCTGAATGTTTTTAATTTGTAGCGGTGGCATTTGGATAAGACAGGTTTTACTGTATGTATAATAGACATTAATAGTATTACTGGAATTCAAAAAAATCATAAGGCCTATAGCAACAATCATGTGAACTTCAGGTCAAAATTCCAATGCTCCCTTGGCCAATCAAATCAGTTCATTGCATTTGTTTCATCAATGCTCTCAATATCATAATTATTCCACGTGCAAATACTGTACTACCGGTTAATTTGCGAGTTTAAATTTCATGAATTTTGAGAAATACCAATTTTGCGGCCATTAAATTTTGCGGATATCAAAGGTTTAACTTCCATTATTCTCTGAATCCTCAAAATTAATTTATCTTATCTACAGTAATTACACCTACCCAATATCATATACTTTGGATAAGATTTACAATCTCTAGATCTTAGTCAATGGCATGTTGCACCTCAGCCTTTAATTGGCGATATTCGCGACTATTAATTTTCGTGATTTTTACACAATCGCGAAAAGCACGAAACTAAATTGCACGCGAAAAATATCGGGAGTACAGTACATTGAAACCATACACTCTTATATTTCATAAGAATTTGCAATCAAGCCTAACAAATCTATTGTCAAAATATTAGAAGGCCAGCAAATGTACACATGCTAAAGTGATGAAACTTTAATGAATTTTAATTTTGCCTATACTGAGATGTGTTAAACTCTATTTGGGTTAGATTTATTCGGCTACACCCTCTACTTACAGCCTTAACATGCCCCCTATCGGCTATCACCCGCTTCAAAATCATAACAGGTTCCTTTATATCTTTATCTTCTGTTTAAGAAAAGCTGTTAGCTATCAGCTGTATTTTTGTCAATCAAGATTTCTCTTCATCTGTGAATTACCCAGCGAGAAACCAAAATGGCAATTTTGATGGAAAGACACAAAGTACCAGTCAAAATCTCTGAAGATTTCCGGGCAAACAATGGCAGCTCTCCCAGTTAGGTTTTAGACTGTCTTCTCATATTTTGTCAATTTTATTCAATTTCAAGTATTGTTTAGAGT